TCTGTCATAAGTTATTTTGTGTAGTTATAAGTTATTAATGGATGTAAAATGGTTTCCAAAGCAATGTGTTATACTTATCCCTCCGATAATTCATAGAGTCACAATAGGAACTTGGCTGGAAAAGGAGGCTTTTAAGGCGAGGTTGTCTGCCTCGAGTTATTCAATGGATTTAGCTTAAAATGTGAACGAGGTTAGTAGTATGAAAATATACGGAATTATATACTCGTGTCGCTCCCCGAGGGGCCCAGGGTTAACTTTTAAACCATGACTGATATCTATACTCCATATTTATATAATGCCAATGTAAGTAATGACCTTTATAAATTGACTCTTTATGAGTAAAACAATGACATAGCAGACATATTGTGTAAGGCGGGAAATATGATACAATAATGGATATACAAATGGTGAATATCCCCTACTTGTCTGCAGTTTGTAAGACGAAATATAACTTTATGAGCTTTTTTTTCACCGTGTTTATTGTAAGGAAATTGTTTTTTGAGTCAGGATTATTTACCGTGGTTATTATGATACCCGGGCCCTTTGAGAAATTGGCGGGAAGGTGGTGTTTGTGTGTGTGTGGGGGGGGGGGGTATGATTCACAGAAAAAGAAATAAAGCCATATGAATATTTTTATTATGTTTTATTTTATTCTTCATAAAATATATATTATGTATATAAATCTTCTCATTTAAAAATGATAACATGATTGGTAGGAGTTGATGACGTGTAACATCACCACACATAATATAAAAACACCTAAATACAAGCATCCAACAATTTATAATTACGTTATATCTGTTCTTGGTGACTTCCATAACAATAGGTTTTTTAATAAATTTACATGACAGCTCTGACATTTACGCTCTAGTCACGTCGGATGCTACAGCCATTAAGGTGTGGCGTGCAGGGGATGAATTGGCCATCTCTTTCTACAAATAAGGTAACAACTTTTCATTTATTTAAGACAATTAGAAAGGTAAGAATATCCATTACGTGTCTCTTAGATTCTTCAAATGGCGACTGTTTCCAATCGTTGGTTGTTTTTTTGGGTTTTTTAATCAGCACTAACGATGTTCGCGATATAAAACATTTGAATACAGTGTTTTGATACCCGATTATAAAATATCAGCTCGAGATAAGGCAGGTCTTCGAAATTCCTCTGTTCGAAATAAACAAGGAACATGGATTGGCTTTAATACTGCAACCTTCGTGTAAGTTTAACTGTATGTTCCATTAATCAAATACGTAAATGGAGTAAATAAAGAGATTTTTTATCAAAAAAATATCTATTTTAATGCCAACAGCAATTACAGCCAAAGTAATTATTAAATTCTATTCAAAACCTTCCGGAGGCTATGTTTCTTGTGAATCAGTATATTTAGTTGTTTTGTGTATTAAATGCGATATTTTCACGCCAACTAGATAGCTGAAACACTTTTAAGCGTTTATCAAATATATAACAAGAAGAAAGTAATTAGGGTAATAAAAACTACTTAGCTTTGTTGGTAAAATAGTCTATAAAGAAACCTTGAACGGAGGGGAAAAGAAAATTTAATGATAGGTTGCCAGGGAACGAAACATACGCCCACAGCAGCTAAATCGTCCGATCGGGCAAAAAGGGTTGTCGTATATTTAATGTTTTGTAGGCAAATTCATACAGATAAAATTAAACTTTTCGTCTTTTGAGGGTTCACAAGGTGCTACAAATTGAAAAAAGCATTCGAACGTTCACAGGGATGAACAAAGTTAAACAAGGGCGATAACTCTAGAGGTAATTATTGGAGAGTGCTGAAATTCAATAGGACTCTTTGTTTCACTAATTTAAATGATGCATATAAATTCCATATAGTTCAATGATAACGTTTGCCATTCGAGGGTTCACAAGGTTTAACAAAGTGAAACAAGGACCATAACACTTGATGTAATTAAAGGAAATTGCTGAAATTCCATTGGTTTCGTAAAGATTTAAATACAGATCGGATGATGACTTTAAGTCATTAAAGCATTCACAGGGTTCTACAAAATGAAACAAATAGATCGTTCACAGGTTTCGATAAAGTGAAACAACAGCCATAATATAAAGGATGCACATAAACTTCATACAGATCGGATGATAATTTTTTTACTTTAGAGCATTCACAAGGTGCAATAAAATGAAACAAGGGCCATAACGGAAATTAACGGATATTATTGAAATTAAATAGCCGTCTTCATCTCACTAATGTAAACGCCCTAATAAATATAAATTTTAAAACAATCATATGTTAAATGTAATTTGAAGAGCGTTCACAAGAAATTGTGAATGACGGACGGCCGGATGGCCGGACGCGACGACAGTATACGACCACGTGGTCGTATAAAAACATATTAAATACAACTAATTTAAAATTGTTGGATGAATTTTTCATTTAAGCAACAAATAAAAAAACAGACTACTAAATGTAATATACAATAAATCTAACAATTTATAGCACTTTATTATTCAAATGATGCAAAAATATTTATCTATTCGCCATTTATGTTTGGTTTTTTTTTAAGAAATGTATTTAGCAGTCTCGAGAGAAAAAAGATTATTACTGATTAACATGAATCAATATGGTGTCACATCCTCGTTTGTCATAGATTAAAAACCAAAGAAAAATATCGTTTAACAATGTATGCTCTATCCTCATATTGAGCATTTACGTGTATTCACATAGACAACATTAATAAATGTTCCAGTCCTATCTTCATAAACGTGCTATGCATTCCAGGGAGGCTTAATTCTACTAAAATAAAGGCGAGCTTTGTACAATGTAGGATTTTAAAAACAGTAGTATCCTCTAACCCTAACCAGGAAGCTGTTAATAAGTGTAGTTTAATGGTCGAGTGCGAGACATTAAGTAATATCTATATATTACACAATGTCTTGCATGAGACCATTAAACAACTTAAATTTAAAATACAGACAACCAGCACGTACATTTCAATGAAATAAGCCACGTGGGTCCAATATTGCAACTAGTATAAATAATGTACGCTTGGCACATTATCCGTACCATTATTTGAAATAATGGCCCGCCAACATCAAAGGGTGAAGTCACATCTGTATTTTAACACCTGTTAACAACCATTAAGCCTCAGTAGCCTTAATCACTCTAGCCGAAACGTCGATCTACATTGTACAACGCTTCTCCCCGTTTTAGTAGAATTAGCACACAAACCCATATTAAACTTACAAACTGTAGCAAATCAAGGCATTCAAGTATATTATTTAATAAAACTCAGTGATAATAAAAGAACGTAATTATGGTTTAATAAACCTGTGGGATTATAATATAAATGCCAGTTCTCTAAATAAGGAAATACCGCTGTGTATGGTATGGGTAACGTAGTTTATTATGGTAGCTTGTAGTAGGGGGTGGGGGCAACTTGATTTATCAAGGTGGTTTGTAGTGGGGACGTGGTTATGAAGGTGGTTTGTTCTGGTGGGGAGGTAAAGCGTAGGGGTGGGCAATGTGGTTTATCAAGGTACTTTGTAGTGGTGATAGCGGTGTAAGGATGGGCCACGTAGTTCATCAAAGCGGTTTGAACAGAACGGCGGGGGTGAGTTGGAGATGCCAACTTATTTTATCAAGGTAGTTTGGCAATGGGTTGATCAGCAACGGCATGTTTCTAAAAAACTTTAGTTATGTAATTATAACATTAACACTACATAACATGCATAAACATTTCTGATATTCATAATCTTAATACTTCCGTAATATACAAGCAATAACCAAAATACTTTGTAACATTCAAAATCTTTAATCTATTATTGCAACGAACTTGTTTATAATCCAAATACAGCAGTGTCCCATTTAATACTGGATGCAAAGATTTCTTATTATGCCAACCATTTGGTTATAGATTTCCTCAGAATTACCACCAATTTGTATCCTATCATGGCTGCTTTGAAGTATAGGATGGGGTCTGGAAATGTTGTAAGGTAGTTGTAAACAAGTGAAGGAATTATTGTAAGATTTGTAAGGTAAACAACCTGCCTATTAGTAACCTACAGGAGGTAAATGATATACGTATAACATGGGTGGATTATATTGGACACTCTGTTTTCATTCAAAACAACGAGTACATCGCTTCGACCTGTAGTCAGACCAATTGCCTGGCTCTGGTTTATTAGAACTCCAAGACATCGTCGCACGCCATATAACCGCCTTACAACAAGAATATCCGATTTTAACGGTACTTTCATTGGTCGTCACGTTTTCTTAAAGAACGAGTTAAAATGTTCGAAACGTCTAAGTAAGTTAATCTTTCACAAAGATGTACCCGGAAAAAAAAGCTCATAAGTGATTTGGAACACCAAATGAATGGCTTTGAAACATATGCTGCTATTAATCACCGACAAAAGTGTGAGGTGGCAGTAGCGCCCAAAATATTAGAAAAAGAGTGCGACAAGGAATATAATATAGATATACATATTATATACATCATGTGCAAAATCATGGATAATTATGAAAAATTAAAATTTTGTCAAAGCGACGTAAAATTGCCTGACTCAAGGTGGGTTCATTGTGCCGCTTTGTCAAAAATTTCAATTATGTATAATTTTGTCAAAATTATGAAACTATTTAAATTTTGGATTAGGTGTGTTGAATATTCATATCTATAACATATCTTTCCTTGTCCTATCTCTTTGCAATACTTTGGTTGGATTGACAAATAAAACAGTTCTTGTCGGTGATTACTATGACCCAAAAACTAAAATGAGATAAATACATGTAAAGTCTATATATATATATATATATTACCAGCTATTGATGATTGAAAGATTTTTTTAGTCGACAGTCTGGGGGGTCTGTGCTATACTACGTGCCTACAACTGATCTTCATCAATAGAACACACGGTATAATTTATTGGATGGAACCTATCAATTTAGGCACATGATCCACAAACATGTTTACTGCACACAGAAAAAAGGCAACTTTTCTGTTTATTTGTAACAGACACGTGTACGATGTATCATTATACTTTGTATGCTTTTGTTTTATATGTTACTGAATTCGGTTGTCTTCCCTCTGACATGCAGAATTACAGTACGCTCAACATGAGCTTCAACGGTAATCTTGATAATCGAGTCAATCATGTTCCAATATTCAACTCTTAATTGTATATATGGTATACTTGGATGCAAGCTACGTTTGTTGCAGGAGCTGGTTGTATAATTCCCGCTAAATCTGTGGAAAATGGCTTCCTGTTATGCAAGAATCCAATTGAAACATGAAAGATTGCAGTTTCACAGAAGCGTCAAAGTAAAAGTACACACAACGTGCTGCTTTTGCTAATAACTAAATAATCAACCCATTAAGATTCAAGTTTCAATTAAATGGTTAAAAAACTAAAACTAAATAAGACATAATTTCAATTTGACTCATTATTAATAAAGTTATTATTGTTGGTTTATATAATTAAATATAGTGTTGAATATATAATGTATATATTCCCCGTAATTTTAACTTGTGACTTACACAAAAGTCGAGGTTAGTTAATATAAATACTCCATTCACGTAGAGACACACGTCACTACTTTTCAGAAAAACGTCACGACTTCCGTGAAAATGGTCCGAGTTGACTTTTCTTTACAAATGTACACAATATTAATACAATAATATTAATTATACAAAAACAAATGCACAAGTAACTCACAGTAAAACAATAATATAATAATAATAATAAAGTTTGTATATTTACATACGAAACACGTATGGAAGATTTGCATTCTTCATACTCCAAACATAATGCACGTGTTTCATTCAGACGCAAATAAGTTTGTGGCACATGAACGTTTTCAGAGTTTGGCTCATTATACTGTTATGTCAACTTTCACGTTTACAACAATTCGGGCCAGGGTCCGCTGGCACACTTCGTTGATTCTCAAATGGTAACTTCATAATCTGCTCCAGATGACATGTTTAACTCAAGGTTACTCCTCAAGTCCTTCCGCCATAGCTTGAGGTAGATCATGCGAGCAACGGTTCACGGCAAGATACAACAATGGAGGGTTTGGTCGGCACTATTCTCCTTAAAATTATTTAATTCCAGTTAAATGATTGGCCTGTCAGTTGGTAAAATTTAGCGTTGAAAGGTTTAAAAAAGTCCCTGAGTCGCTGCAAAACGTGGGGATCCACATTGGGGTGTTGTCTCCCCTTAGTCTTTCCTAAACAATGAGGGCGCCCACTACCTTCCGGTTTCTTTAAACATGGGAAGCCACGTGTTTCGTTTAAATAAAAATGTTTATCTGTAACGATTCGTTTTAATCCTAGAAAATCCTGCACTTTGGCCATTTCGCCGGCTGGATTAACAATAAGTTGTTCACCATTCACAAAATGAATTTGACGGAGAGGAAAATACTTTAACCACTTTTCTAAATGTTTGGCGTAAACCCCGATTTTAACAGCTGCCCATTTGGTATCGACGATTCTCGATGTATTGTCTATAAATGCCATTTTCTCAAACGGCTTCATTGCCGGCCTTTTTGTGGCCGCTTGAGTATAGTCTGATATTGCACGAGTCACAGGGTCCCTTACAACAACTATAAGTTTGATATTTTTGGACATATTGTAAATCCTCTGTGGTACCTCTTTTGTAACAAAATAACTTGGAGTTTTTTCCATTGTGAGTTGACCATCCAGGGTAGAAGGCATCTGGTGTCTGAAAAGATAAAAATAAGGACTCTTATAAATAGATCGAATATAAATGTCAAGTCTAGTTATAAAATCTGTAATATTAAAAAAAAACAAAAAAACATTTAAACAATCTGGTGTAATTGTGTATTTATGACAAATACCGCTAGTATACTAATTAATATGAATGTTATATCGGTCTGGAGGGGGTGTAATAAGGTTTTCGTTTGATTATTACAATACGTGTACATGTTTGTTGGTAATAATATGTTTGTTCCCTGGTATTGCATAGTTCTGGAAGCGAATGTAATAAGGTTTTCTTTTATTATTACAATGCGTGTACATGTTTGTTGGTAATATGTTTGTTCACTAATGTTGTATAGTTCTGGAAGCGGATGTAATATATAAGGTGTTCTTTTATTATTACAATACGTGTACATGTTTGTTGGTAATATATATGTTTGTTCACTGGTGTTGTATAGTTCTGGAAGTGGTGTAATAATGTTTTCTTTTGATTGTTACAAGGGTTTATTCATTAATGTTATATAATTGTGGAAGGGGGGGGGGGTAAGATATGGATATGTGTTTGTTGGTAATATGGTATGATATACATAATGTAATATTACCATTTCTGGTGTTCAATAAAATTATTTTTATATTACACAACATGTGCTTTTGATTATGGTTTAAACGGTATAATGATTTGTAGTAGTTGTGATTTGTGTAGGATATACGCGTGCGTAATTAACTATAACTTCTGATTGTTTTTGTCCGAAAAAAGTTAACCTGGTTTCGCTTATAGATATAGACGCTACACTTCTGTTTCTCAGAAGTCTAAAGCGTAGCAGTGCTGTGCCACCCCATCATTGGGAGCCACAAAGGAACAAAATATATTTTATTGCAAAGTGAAACCGAAATTGAGTTGGTTTTATTATTTATGTTTGACAAAGAAACAATTGAGAGAACAAAACAAAGACGTATGCTTGTGTTATTTGACTAACGCCCTCTACCACAATCATATCCTAAATCTTTCTAAATTTGGCAGATAGACAAAAACCTCTCAAGACCTTCTTTCTATCGGATTACATAATCTGCATAGCTGGCTCTACTTTATTCTAGATAATAGCTACTTAAAAACGTCTGCAAACAAATATAATACCTAACTGGCGAGAAAATTATTATCAGATAATTAGAGGATATCTGTTTAGGCCACTTTCCGTATATACTCGCTAGTTGTTTCGGTAAAGATGTAACCTTTACAGTCATTTTACATACTTAGAACATCTAAACGCAAATATTAATACATTGGTTTTACGTTATCACTGCCAAATGCAGAAGTAATATCAAATTTAGCACACAAATATTCTGTTTGGGAGTTACTGCCCTTATAAATAATTTGTGTTCCAGTTCATTCAAATGTAGTTGAGGGGGGTGCCCACTATGCAGATGCTGCCTTGCACCATTCAATAAAATTTAACACACGGTTGTTTTGTTTGGGAACTGCCCTTGATCAATAACTTTGAAATCAGTTCATTCGAATCTCGTTGAGGGAGGTCGCTCCACTCAAGTCGAATGTCTCTTGCGCTAAACACATCGCGTACCAGTTCATTCAAATGTCGTTGTGGGAGGTTGCTCCAGTCAAGACTAATGTCTCTTGCGCTAAAAGCATCGATTTGTTTGTGGGATATTTCGTCTTATTTTCGATTTCAAATATGACTTTTTTTTGCTGGGATTACACCTTAGTCGCGTATAGTTAAAATATCAGCATAAATAAAATACTTAATTAACTTTCTACTTTAATGTCCCCACAACAAGTAACTTTAAGACAATCGAATTTATTATGTGTAGCCTCAAATCTCTTTATTCTATTAACCAAAGATAATTTCTTATCTCTAGTCAGACTGTCGTGACAGAGTCAGACATATATCTTCGGAGTTTGTCTTAACGATTTATAACAAATATAATAACCCTATCTTTGACTCTGTTGTTGTATTATGAATTTATCTCTGTCCCTGTACATGATACCATAGTCTGTGCTTTTGAGCAGATCTGTGTCCATTCGGTTTTCAACTGAATGGTGTTATAATTCATAAACCTATTACGATGTGTAATCTGTAAGACTGTATTAAAACATGAGAGAGAGAGAGAGAGAGAGAGAGAGAGAGAGAGAGAGGTGTTTAACGTCAACTCGACCTCAACACAAACTATGTTTTTTGGGGACTAACATATGGTTCAATTTTATTTCAAAAATGCGCTTGCATGTAGGGATCTTTAGCAGTGAGAGAGGAAACCGGAGAACCCGGAGAAAACCCACGAGGATGAACAGACGACCCTACTCCTTGTCACGTACAACCGGGGAATCGAAGTTTTAAAACATGAAGATATTTGTCTGTGGTATATATAATAAACATTACTTGTATTCTAATCAATAATTTCAGAATTCATAAACGTGTTATATGACTGTATTAAGTCCTTTGCATACCAAGAATTATTTATCGGCAATGTTTGGTTACCGACTTCAGTAACACAGTTGTTTCCAGTGCCAGATTTACCAACGTTGAAAATGGTGCTGCTGAACCAAGTACACAATAATGGCAAACCGTTAAGTATCTTTTCTATTTTATTTTGAACTATGAACTATACATATCTGGGACACCATTATCTTTTCAGTGCTTTTGGGCCCCCAAAAGTCTTAATCCAGTCCTTCCTACCTTTTAGCACAGTCTCGAAGTTAAATCAAGTAAGATTATTTTTTTTCAATTTGTTGAGTATAAGAAAAGGTTATCTAGTACAATAACTTTATTATGTACTGTAATTAAAATATATTTTTGTTGTCCCTTTAGGAATATCTCACAGACAGGCAGTCGAAAAAAAAAACAACAAAGAAACTGAGATAAAAGCAAGGATTTTAAGACTAAATATTTTCCTAAACTTAATATGTTTTATTTGTTGTTTTTTGTTGTTTTTTTTATACATATCGTTGCTTTAATCTTCGATGGCATTTCAACTTGTAATAACAGTCTATCATTTAAATAAAAGAGATTTGATTTTTTCAACACAGAATTTTAACTAATAATCAAAGCGGCTCTCGGGCATTCAAAAAGAATTCAAATCCAAATAATAGTTTGTGAAAAATGGATATCTGACATTTACATCTAATCGTCTTTTAGGACGAGGTAATTTGTTGTATACAAATACTCCAGTGGACGTTTAAACTTTTGCCCAAAAAAGAAAAAAACCCCAACTGATATCAAATGTTCTAGAATAAATTTATCCAATCGCATACACAAGATCACTATTGGTAGCTAATGAAAACGACTTGGATTCCCGAAAATAAACGCAATAAATTGGTAGGTCCTGCCAGAATTTTGAACATGAACTGTAAACAATACACATCTAATAGTTTTCATTTTACTTAATCTGTCAATGTGATTACCTTTTTTCAGTATTAGTCATATATTTCATCAAAGCTGTCTAATATAGGGTGATCAGTTCTGATTTGAAGTTCCAATAAGTTGTTCATTGTTGTAAGTTAAATTAGGTGATTTCCACTGTCAGACAGGGTGGTATTATTGTGGCTGGTTACCGCATGATTAAGACACCCATGAGATATCATTCCGCACTATGTGTTAAATTAAATACGTGATTTCGTCTTAATTCTTTGACGGTTTTCGCCAAGATTAGTATCATAGTTCCTACTTAGCTTAGAAGTCTAGCTGTGACCAAAATGGGGAGGGAGTTGGGCGATAGCACAGTTGTGTCGAAGTTAGGTGTGAGGTGGGAGTTTGATACCACAATTGTGTCGAAGTTGGGTGTGAGGTGTGTGTGTGTGTGTGTGTGTGTGTGGCGGGGATGGGGGGGGGGTAACACAAATTAAATGAAGTTGGGGTTAAATTTGACATATAATGATAATGGAAATTTAAGAACTAACTGGCTGATGGGGACATAAATTATATCAAGAATTAGATGATCACAGTGGAAAACCCGTACAAACTAAAATGGGGGACAATATCCATTTGAATTCAATTCGCAGATCTCACAACTTACATGTAGGATAAGGCTTAGATTTGGGAGGGTATAAGATTCATGGTTGAAATGAATGGTTTATATAGTGATTGACATCTGCTTTGATTGCATAGTCTAGTTTTACTGAGTGAGCTTTACAGCCAACCCGTTTATTAGTTTTATAAAATATCAGATTTACGATCCTTTGGCAATGAAACGAAACGAAGTAAAACTGGAAATCACGAATTTTATGAATAGCGGGTATTATTCTCTATGGATTTATCAATAAAATAACGCCAGGGAATAAATCTATACATTCTCTCATTTAAATCGGCTTTTGTCGGTAACAGTAAGGGTATTATGCAAAATAGCGATTTATTTCGTTTCGGAATGTATAATGCCGGAAAGCGATTACGCAAATACATAAACCTTTAACCCATTTTTGAATGGAGGATAAATGGTACCATAAGCCAGATTCACACAAGAGATGTATTATTGTGTCTCTTGTTGGTTCAGTTTAAATACACAAATTTATATATAGATTTATTAGATCTCGCGCTTTCAGTTGAGGGAGTTGGGGACATGCACTAAAACCAATTATTCAGCCAGATGATCAACCTGCCTTGCGTGATGCTACGTCGTCGTCTTCGAATCGAACATGATAGTGGTTTATGTACTCAGATAGTCCAGACCCTGTATATAAAACTGTTACTGTACATAAAAGGTCCCTAGAAAGTTCGAATTCTAAGATGAGTAGACGACCATACCGGGTAAATGACCCTCACCCCACCCGCACATTGAAGACGTAGCAAATAGCATACATTAGTTTCAAAATAGTCCACGTATTGAGTTGCCAAAACATTTTAAGAATGATTTTAACAGTGACGCTCATGTGCCTTTTAATATTGTTCACATGTAGGCCTAGGACTCTTTTGCGCTCTCTATAGGAAATTGAACGGTTCAGAGAAGATAGGAATCCCTACTATACGTTTTGGGGAAAACATACGGCATAGCCATGCTACA